GTTAGTAAAGTTAATATGGTTTGACTAACCTTTAAGTGTACAATATCTCAAGGTAATTCGATTATTTCGTCATATATCTGAAATAGATAAAAATCTTGGCTCGATCTCTACTTTTTAACTTATCTATATTCGTCCTGCAGCTTTCATCTTGACCTATCAATATTGCCTTGGCCAAGGACATTTAGTCAATATAAGCCAGGAGCAAATGAGACGTGTCCCCTTCAAATCACTTGAGGTGATGAATCTTCTCTGGACTATGCATTCATTCCCGCATGCTTCATGCTACACCTAAAAGCACCCTATTTAGATATCTAGTTGCCTCTAGACTCGTAGAGGTGAAATCAAAGCATGACAATTCACATATAAGATGACCTCGTATCACAAATCTAGGGATTACTTACACTACTGATACATGAGAGTATTTTTATAGACACTTGAGTGAAATTCTAAATAAAACTCTCACAGCGGGTCATGTTTAGTGAACTTGTTCCTTAACAAGCACTCACATACTATTCTCAAGTATCTCACATACTTCAGTCAATGAGATCAATTGCTTACTTTCAAAATACGAAGGCTTAGCTGTACCAACTTTTAAGCATTGTCAATGTCTTTATTCTTGACAATACAATGACCAAGAACATATTTAGGAAGAAGACTTTGATGCATAAGAATCTCATAATTATACCCTTTATAATTTTTTTGAAAAGCCATTATGTTCCAAGGATTTTATCTATAAAAGTCTCTCAAAACTCTTTATAAACTCATGGATAACTCTTGGATCAACTTTCCCTCATTCCTATAGAAACATGTGAATTGTTACCATTTGCATGGAATATCCACAAAATTAAAATCAAACACCATCTGGCTCAACCTCGAATCCTCTTATTAGCATGAGATAGATCCCCACCTTTTTCCCCATACAATAATAAATCATTGAAATCTGCTAAACCTATCATGGGAGAAGGATCAATCTTCGCTTTCCACACTGAAGCCTCCCACACCATTTTGCCTCTCTTTAAAGTCTATTGTACTATACATTCGTAGACCTCTAAATTGGTGAAGCCCTCTGAATTGCCTACAACTAAACAATAATTATTTTGATTTTAAGTAGGCCCTAATATTTCAACAATTCCTTCTTCATCATTAGTAATTACCTTCTACCTCTTACTATTCTCCACCATTCATAACTCATCCAGATTTCCTCTTTGAGGTGCATTCTTTTGAAAATATTTGACAAATTCTTCATGGGTGATAAATTACAAAATGGTTCCCTTTCTTCTACAAGTGTAGCTTAACATAATCCACCTATTTCTCTAGACACATCTTTTCAAAACAGCTTTTGATATTCCTGCCACTATGCCCATTTTCTTTAGCTGGATCTAGTTCTTTACCCTCGAGGAAAAGAGAGTGCGCACACCATCTTTCCCATCTGACCCTAAGAAGTCCTCTCCAAGCCCACACTCCATGAGTTAACTCTTTTTCCTCCCGGTGAAATAAGAGCTTTTGTTAGTGTAGTTGGTCTCGTGGTTGGTCTTGAAACACCAGTGCACCTACTTTCAAGTTTGCAAAACTTACTACTATGTACTAATCTCCATGAATCAGAAACAGAAGTCCTAAGAGTTTTTTATCTTTCAAATCAGTCTAGACTTTTAGTCGTTCCCTCTTGGAACCTCGAAACTAAGGATGAACGGTTTCAAAGAATCCACTAAAATACGCGCTCTTAAAAACTGCATTTAATCCAAATCTGCTTCTCGTCTCGATTCTTCCACTTCAATAATCTAACCAATTTTTCTCCCTATCAACTTATTATTCCTAATTGTAATTAAATCTCTTGTTTTTTTTAAAGATGGTATCAACTCTCTCGTTAAATTATGAATTGAACCCAATAAGAAATAGCTGAAAAGTACATCTCACTGATCGCGTGAACCCTCAGCCATTTCTTCAAATTCATGCAATGGCTCATAACCAACCATGGTTTTTTCTTGATAACAGTTTCGATAACTTCTTTGATGAGTAGAAAATGCTATACAAACTCAAGACCAAATCACTGAGCGTCAGAACCTCTTCCTTCGATCATACATTTTAGTGGATCGCTTGATAACTCCCTTGTTGAGAGGTTTGTCATCCATAATCTTCCTAATAACAGGCCATCCAGATACCTCTCCTTCACCTCCCAAATCCACCATGATATCCCTCATCTCACCTCATTATAATACTAGAAAGATTAAAAAGGATTAGAAAAACGAGAAAACTGGAGAAGAAAAACGAAATGCAAAGGAAATAAAACCAAGAGCACGTAGGTAGAAACTCTCACTTCTGGGGATAAAAAGACCCTCATTCTAGAGAGAGGCTCCCGTTTAGAGAAAAAAAAGTTATAATATTTATAAAACTTTTTGAATTATTTAAAAAATTTAAATAATTATTTTTTTATTATGATTGGTCTAATTGTATTTTTTATTTTAATGATTAATGATTGATTAATTATTATTAATCAAAATAATATTTTGTATATTATGTAACATTAACATGACATGTTAACATGTTATTATACCTCTATTTGCTAATCTCGGATCACAAGATCGACAAGATCCTATTCAGAATGGCTCTCTAGTTAAAATGATATAATGAAATCATTATGTATTATTTTCATATTTCATATCAATATTACGTGAACATGAAATAATAAATAATATTTTAATTAATAATAATTTATTAATTATTAATTATTAAAAATTATTTAATATAAAAAAATATTGAACAAGAACTTATTTGAGTTTTTAAAATAGTTCATAAATTTTTTTATCATTATATGAAAAAGTATTTCGTACCTATATGAAAAAATTCAAAATTACTTAATGAGTTGTGACGTCAAAATCCATGAAGACCTCAAATATTCTCCCAAACCCCACGTATATGATTCTTAGCTGGCATCAATTATTGATAAGCTGTCATGATTGTGGGCGCATGTTGGGGTAGGCATACTACAGGAATCAAGCACCATACAGAGGAGTTGTCCATTCGGTTGGCCAAGAGACTCCCTAGTAAATTAAATGACACAAAATTTTCCCAAGAAAATTAGATGACATGAAAACTAGATTGTTTGTAATTTCATGTCAGCAGGATGATATAAAATTAATCCTAGAAAATTGAACTTTTTGCAACTTAGACAATTCTAGAGCACTTATCAAAAACTGAGTTCTCACAGATTTTAAAGTTGAAGTGAGGTTATAGGCCTAAGTCAATGAGGATTACTTTTCAGCATTCACTAATTTGCACCTTAGAAAATCTTAGAAGGTAAAAGCAAATATAAATTCTTACAAGTTGAGTGGTTTCTTATAATTACAATGGGTTCACATATTTTATACTAGGCTGCTAGTTGAGTACCATTTTAACAAAGCATGCGTTAAAACGTGCGTGCAAATGCTCCCAACGAAGCACCATGGTTTATATCATGATTTTGATAGTCTCCGCCTTATTATTAATTGCAATATACAAAAACTTTGTTTTGAGAGACAGCAACGAAGATCAAATAAAAAAAAGTTACTTCCAATTCATTAGAAGTATGCTTTGTTTGAGCTTTAATCTTTTGCTATTTTCACTCCTAATCAAGTTGCCCAAGCAGTTAGGATTGAACTTTAAAGTGGGTTTAATTTCCATCATTATTGCAATTTTAAATTAGCCCACTTGGATGAATAAAACAAGCAGGAAAAAGGAGAGCCGAAAATAAAAAATCAAATTGCAATGATGATGAAATCAAGCCCATTTTTAAGTTTAATGATGATGAAATTAAGCCCGAAATTCTAGAGATGTGGATGTGTAAAGTTTTCCATCCTCCCAATCTAGACAAAATAAGCCCATGTAGAGAGTTCTCAGTGCGTAGACCCAAAAACAAGTATTTTCTACAGTTACAAAGATGATGCACCTTGTCCAAAGGGTTTGGTCACCAAAGGAATGACAATTTTTAAACTAAGTACTCATTGTAACTACATGACGTTTGAAACAAAATGTAAGCAACTCTTTGAAGGACATAAGTATCAACCTAAATTAATGACAGCGGTTATCAAAAGGGGTCATTTGTTTCTCTTTTTTTTTAAAAAAAAAAAATGGGCCACATTTATTGCCGATATTTTATCTGAGTAGATTTTTTTTTCTAGATATTTGATTTATTTACAAGTATTGTCACTATGTTCAGATGGAAAAAATTATCAAACCATAAAATGTAGGATAAATTAGCAATCTTATTTATTTATTTTTAATGTGAACCTTTAAATTAGTTGCGCAGAATAGAGAAATTTGTGATGGTGTGCATCCTTATTGCACTTCTATAATTAATCTATAACATAAGTAAAAGAAAGCCCCAAGGGGCTTCCACACTTGGCCACGTTTGACATGTGGCTAATTTAAAATGGTTGATTTAGAAAAAATTTGGAGATGGTTTTGTGGAGCCGGTTGCATTTAGGATTGTCAATAGGGATTTTTGGTAAATATTTGTGGATTTCATCCAAGTTTGACGTGAAACAAATTTTTAATTTTCAGTGAGACATGGTAGGAATCACAAGGGGGATTACTTCTAAATAATTATAAAGACATGAGATAAAAAAATATTAATTAAAATTAAAGATCATTTAAAAAATTTCATCATTAAAACTAAAAAAAATTTAATAAGTATAAGTAATATTCATTTTATTTTGACTTTCAAAAAATATTCATTTTATTTTATAATTTTATTGTATTAACATGTAGCTTGTCAATTATTATTTTTAAAATATTATATTTTTTCAATATAAATTTAATTTCACTATTAGTATTTTTATTTACAATATTATATAATTTAAAATTATTTTTAATAGAAAATTTAACACCGACGCGAAGCGAGGCACCACTCTAGTATATTTAAAAGGAAGACCACAGAGACGGTGAAAGAGAAAAGATATTGAAGCAAAGAGAAAGAAAGAAAGGGGTGCGTAGAGACCACAGTTTACTGTTGAAGCAAAGAGAGGGAGTGCAAAGGGGCACGTGTGTTGCACACGGCTCATACTCTAGCTTATATTAATTACATGCTTCCAACGACAACGACTTTCGAGTCCAACGAAATAAAACGGAAAAGCAAAGATAAGAACAAGAAAAAAAGGAGCCAATAGCTTCAATTCCCTCTGTCTGTGAGGCACAATTATTGATACTTTCCCTGCAAGTTGCCAGGAAAAAGAAATGAAGCAGTTAAATTGCTCTTCCTTTTGACTCACACGTCTTCCACACTATTGTCGCCCGCCCTTGTACGAGCTTAAGATTGAAACTTTTTATAAGACGTGAGACATGAAAGCGAATAGTGGTATATGCGCACACAAAAAAGAAAAAAGCACAAATACAACTTGGTATGCTCATAATTTGAAAGTATCATCATCATCCAATAAAATTGGATCCATAACCCTCCCTGGTGTTCCATGAAGCCCGCAGTCACTTGAGTTGCTCATTCGGCCATCGAGTGACAAGGCCCCATAAGCTGGAATAGCACAACACAGGGCCTGGAGACCACATAGAGCTGGTGGTCTAACCCATTTCAATCCTGTCTTGTCACTTACGAACCTGAATAATTCCTTGTGAGAAATTGTTTTGTTCCAAAATGTTGGACAGGAATGCATCACCACCTTGGAATTGTTGTTTGGTCTTAACACAATCTCCATGCCATTGCTGCTCATGATCTCCTCATCTGAAGCAGCATCAGTGCGCTCTTGCAACTCCAAAGCATGCTTAAGCCTCTTTAACACAGCAGCCATTGTAGGCCGCTTATGTCTATCATCATTCAGACACTTTAAAGCAATACTTGCATACATTTTCAAGCACTCTGGAGCAATTTCACCTTTTAGATTGTGATCGATAATTCTATTAAGCTTGCCAGCTTTAATGCATTGTCGAACCCACTCTGCCAGGCTTTGTTGTTCATCATCTTGCCTCAAATCCACGGCTGGTCTAGCACACAGCACCTCAAATAAAACTACCCCAAAGCTATACACATCGGATTTCACTGAGAGGTGGTTAGTCTGAAAATAATCAGGATCCAAATATCCAAAGGTACCCTTAACACCAGTTGTGACATGGCTGCGTGATGAGCATGTTGGGCCTAATCTTGAAAGACCAAAATCTGAAACCTTGGCGACCCAGTTTTTGTCCAAGAGAATGTTGCTTGGCTTGATATCTCTGTGGATGATCTTGGGGTTTTCGGCATGAAGGTATGTAAGCCCACGGGCAACACCAATGCAGATTTCAAGCCTTTGTTTCCATGATAACGGTGGACCCTGAGTGCTGTACAGATGATCCCGGACGGTTCCCCGAGGCATGTAGTCATAAACAATGATCTTGATCCCTTCATCACAGTAACCTATCAGTGATACAAGATGGGGGTGTCGGAGATCGGATAGCATTTGAATTTCTGCCTCAAACTCGTTGGAACCTTGAGTTGATGTTGGCTTCAAGGCCTTTATAGCAACTGGAGTTTCACCATCAATGCAACCTTTGAAAACTCTACCAAAACCACCATTACCAATTACTAGCTCTCTGTCAAAGTTGTTGGTGGCAGCTCGGAGCTC